ACCTAGAGCTTCCTCACAGCCACCACCAGGGGCCCTACAGATCTTGGTAGCTCTACCCTGGGTCATGTGCCTTAGTGACCAGAACTCCATTCTTAGATATTTCACGTATTCCATGGACGTGACCCTCATCTACAGTGACCACAGAGGTAAACGGCATTACTCTCATTTGGCTGTTGAGAAGACTGAGGCATGTAGAAATCAGAGCTAAGGCTGCTTGGCCAGAGACAGGAGCTGTCAGTGCCAGCTGACACCCAGTGCCAGGGCTTCCTGCCTCAGGCTGCCTTTCCCATAGGCCTCCTGGAGAGCAGGCTTTCTGAGGCTGTGCTCCCCAGTCCTGGAACTGAGAAGGTAGAAGCCCTTCCTATAGAGTGGGGAGTGCTCTCAGGTCATCTTCCTGACTCCTCCTAACAGTACCAAGGCTGAGGGTTTAGGAGAGACTAGGTCCTTTACCCAACTCCAGCTGCTAACACACCCCTTAATGATCACAACTCTTATTAAAACCTTGGGGCCCCTGTCGAGCCAAGAAGACCCTCCTACATCAACCAACTAGAGCCCGATAAATTGCAACCAAGCTTTGGGACCATGAAAGGCTCTCATTCTCAGTTCTGGAAACAAAGGAGGTCCTGGCTCCTCTCAGGTGTAACATGAACTAAGGAAACAGCATGCTAGGCAAAGCAGCAAGCACCAGAGGGCGCCTCTGTGATAAGTCCTCGGTAAAACTGGCTGCAGAAATGGGACCTGGGAGTAGACCCCAAAGCTGAGGCAGGAGGGGCAGTGTGAAAGGAAGATGACGGCCTTTCAGGGGTTTCACCTCATTCTGGAAAAATCAAGGGCAAGTGGGACTGACCCAAGCTGCTGAGTTGACATGACATTTTCTAGGCCATCTAAGGTACAGGTGAGCTCACCGTTACGGGATGTGATATTGGTCACCTCTGCTTGATCCCATAGCTGTAGTTACCATATCCCATGTAGCATAAAACATCCCAAAATGTCTGCTCGTGTTGATGCACATTTGAAGGCATTAATATGTACTTGTGAGAGTGGCCAGGTTATCCTTCTAAAATATCTATAGGCTATTAGACATACCCCCCAACGGAAGTTGTGATATTTGGCATTTATTTCCCTTCCTTCCTTCCTTCCTTCCTTCCTTCCTTCCTTCCTTCCTTCCTTCCTTCCTTTCTTCCTTTCTTCCTTCCTTCCTCCTTCTCCTCTCCTCTTCCTTCTTCTTCTTTTCTTCCTTCTCCTCCTCTTTCAATAGGGTTTCTCTGTGTAGCCCTGGCTGTCCTGGAACTCACTCTGTAAACCAGGCTGTCCCTAAACTCAGAGATCTGCTCACCTCTGCCCTCCAAAGTGCTGAGATTAAAGGCATGTGCCACCACCATCCAGCCCTTTTCTGTTTTAAAGTATTTATTCTGGATACTTTTGTCGAACTCTCGGAAAGCATATATAAGGCTTAAGAATTTCTTAAAGTGTTGTGTATAGTTCATTTTGAATTTTCAGGTTCAACACAAACAGGTTTCTTTACTGCAGAGCTTTTCAGGGCCCCGTGTATCCCTGAGGAGGAGAGTGCAGGCTGTGTTCATCAGAGTGTTTGACTGTGGACATTTCGGGAAAAGTGCCTACATTGTCCAGGGATGGGGGAGATGCTGCCGAAAGCCCAGGATTCCATCCACTGAGTGCTTCTTCTGGTTTAGGGAGGTTGAATGGAGGGGAGGTTCAGGAGGTGGTCTCCTTGCTGCTAGGAAGTACCACTGTACACGGAACACCAGCCAGGGGCCTCTCCGAGCCATAGGACAAGCAGCCGAGTTGTGAAGAGCTTGCGTTCCACAAACCCTCTTCCAGAGCCACGATTGCCTGTGGAAAGGGTTATTCTGCCATCCTCTGGCCTCAGATCCCAACTCTGGCCCCAGTGAAGACAGTGAGAAAAGCAAGGCCGCTGGGGATGACATGTGCAGGGAAGGCTACAATGCACTATTTTAGCGCCACCCCCTATCCAGTGAGGTGCCTAGTACTTACTCCGGCGCTCTCTATTTTTATTCAAATCAAATAAAAAGTAATAATTGCACATATTTGTGCAAAGAAAGTTTGTATGAGGTGTATGTTTAACAAACTCAAGGAAAAATAGTAGCGTTGACAGAAGTCCATGAAGCTTTGCTTGCTGACCCTAAGACCTTCAATCTCCAAGAAGAGCCATGAGAGGAATTTTAGAACTTCACAGGATTGGGACCTGAATTGTATTCACCCCCATCTACTTGCATTTCTCTCCATCACCACACTGTGGTGAGGTTGGAAGCCATTTCTACTAGGGAGACCAGGGGCAGATACTCTGGGCCTTTGAAGTTGGGAAGAAGGCCACTGCTCCTGTTTATTTTGTTTTTGTTTTTGCTTAAACTTGGGGAAAAAAGGTTCTCATCATATTCTCAGCGGTGATGTTTGGCTCCAAGAATTCCATGCCCCATCCCTAACAAGACCCTAGTCTTCCCACGGGTGACCCAAGTGACCCCTCTCAGCATAGGTTAAAAACCAGCTCCATAACTTCAATCTGCAGGGGGGCATCCCTCCAGCAGGAGCTCTCACTTAATAAGATCCTTTGTTAAGTCAGTGTGAACCTTTCGGATTCCCTAATTAGGTGCCAAGTCACCAAGAGAACTAACACAGAAGAGCAGGAAGCTGAGCATGATTGGTTAGCACTTACTAGTTCATGAATCCTAACCCAGAGCTTTGGACAAGTGACTTCACTTTCATGCATCTTCTGTTTCCTCACCTGCAAAACTAGATAATATTAGCTACCTCACAAGAATGGTGTGAGAGTATTTAAGAATAGCATTTAGAACAGTGTCTTACACAGCTGAAATTACTACCCTCTCATGGCAAGTCTGCTGACTGGAGTGGGCTTCTTGTTTGATTCACCTTTCTGAATAGTTTTATGAAGAACAAATGCTAATTCGTGGACTATTTATTTTTAAAAACAGTTCTCGGAATATTGAATCAACATGAGAAGTTAAGCTGTGTTCTTAAAACTGCCGTTAACACCACTTAACTTCTGCCCTCTATCAGACCAAATATAGGCAATCAAGTCTAGATCCTGTTTTTAAAGATATAGAACAATACTAGCAAGTACCCTGAATGTGCTCCCAGAACTGTGTGAGGGACTTTATCTTTAGATGAAAAAGCCCAGCCCTGACCACTGAAGCTCATGTCCTGAGTAAATTCACAGAATCTCAGTCTTGACAGCCTAGGCTGGGATCTGGAAAGCTCTCCAGTGTGGGCCAGACCCATATTTAAACTCTCGCATGGGTAGCAAAAGGATTAACAAGGTGAGAGAGGTATTCAGGACCCCACAATTGGAATATTAGCCAAGGTGTGAGTGAGGAATGAACAACAACAACAGAAAAACAACAACAACAACAACATTAGATTACCCTAACAGAGCCAAGGGTTCATTAGAGAAAAAAAAAAATCTTCCAGTGTTCTTCTACAATCAGTGGGAAGCTCCAGGGTTCTGCTAAGAGCAGGGAGATAAAGACTTAGGCCTTGGCCTCTTAAACATCAGCTTCCACTTGTGAGCAAGAGTGAGTCTCTGTGAGGCTTTGGATCATTGTTGATTCCTTGTTCTCTGTCAGCATGGAGGAGAAGGCTAAGGGGACAGACTCAGGGCCTGCCAAAAAGACAAAAGCAGAAGGGCACAGAAGACACCCAGTAATCTGAGATTGCCACCAGCTTCTCAGCAGGGAGAGGATTGGCTCTTTTCTGCCACACAGACAGGTCACACTGCCGAGGCCTGGTGAGGTCTCATCGCTTTCAGCGCAGGTGCTTACTCCCCCATTCAGTAGACTCTGGACGTCATCCTCAAAGGGGACAAGGAGAGCGATGAGCACTACAAGGATGCCTAGGAACATGGTGGACACACACTAGGCAGGGAGCAGGGCCAGAGAGGCAGAATATACACCTTGAACCTGATAAGCACAGCTGGTGAAACCTGGTGGCATTTAAGCTCAACACAGACCAATTGTTTCCAAAATAACAGCTTTCTGAAACCTGGGGAAGCTACGTGTAATTATGCCCCACCCTGACAAACCCAGTTTTTGGCCTAATCCCCTTTCTTGACTGTTCAGCCAGGATCTATGAAGCATCTATTACATGCTAGGGAATGGGCTTGGCTTGGGCAGATACAGAGTGAGTTCCAGGAGCTATGTCTCCAGCCCCTCAGTAGGCTTTTCTCTCGCTGGTTTTAGATGTAGAAGGTTCCAGCAATGAGATGATCTGCATTTTCAAAGGAAATGACGTAGATGGCCACTGTTATCAGCCAGGCCAGGTCCTGGATGCTCCAGGATATGCTTTTACTCTTTTTGCTTCTTTTATCTTAGGAGCTGTGAAGGATGTTTTCCGTCTCTCCAAATACAGAAATCTGACTCAAGGATGTCATCTGACTATTGAAGGGTGAACACAAGATTTGAGCTCAGACCAATAGCTCTCCAAGTCCGCACTCTCTTCCCTCCTGATCGTTTCTAGAGATAGGAGTCCCTCAAAGGCCTTTTCTTACTGACATGTTCGCTCTTGTTTTAGCGAAGTTTTGGGGCCTCTTCTGCTGCTGCTTCCCACACTTCCCCGCAGCTTGGGAATCCCACAAGAACGAGTGAGGAACAAGTATCCACTAGGGGATCCCATCATGGAGGCCCTCAGCTAGAGCCAGGAGCAGTGCCGAAGCTGGGCTGCAGGGAGAGCAGGGAGAGCCAGGGAGGAGGGCGACAGTCCTCAGATTACTCAGCCCATGGCACCACACGCAAGATCGCGGCAGGTATGCGCTGAGCCTCTGCAAGGTGCTGCACTTGTCCAGGGCTATGACTCACATTAGGAAGTCCAAGCCAACCCAAAAGGGCAAAATGAAGCCTCAGCAACTAGCGGCGCCTCAGAGCTGCTAGCGATGTGACGTCCGCGTCGTCAGGACCAGACAGAGCCCGAGCAGGGGCCTCACTCGGGGTCCAGCTCCACAGGGCACAATGAATAGCAACTTCTGCCGAGCCCTGGTGGACCGCGGTGCCCCCAGCGGCATGCAGCTGGGTGTCGTGGCAGCGGGACAGACGCCGCTGGCAGCCACCGAACCCCTGGGCAATGTTCCCTTCTTGCTGTACCCGGGCCACGCAGAGCCGTCTTACTACGACGCCTATGCTGGGGTGTTCCCCTACGTGCCCTTCCCCGGAGCCTTCGGGGTCTACGACTACCCGTTCGAGCCCGCCTTCATCCAGAAGCGCAACGAGCGCGAGCGGCAGCGCGTCAAGTGCGTGAACGAGGGCTACGCGCGCCTCCGCGGCCACCTTCCCGGTGCCCTGGCCGAGAAGCGCCTCAGCAAGGTGGAGACGCTGCGCGCTGCCATCCGCTACATCAAGTACCTGCAGGAGCTGCTGAGCGCCGCCCCCGACGGAGCGTCACCCGCCGCCACACCCCCGCAGCCGGCCCTCGCAGGTCACGGCGACGCGCCGCAGCTCCCGTCCCTGGTGGCCAAGTCCAGTGGGTCCTCCTCTTTTTCCTCCTCGCCTTTCTTGGAATCGGAGGAATCCAGCCTTTGATCTGGCCAGAGGCCTGACTTGTCCCTCTAGGGAACAGCATGGGGTCTTCTGGGTCATCTGTGCGGGCGGGGGCAGGACAGTGATGTTCGAGGTCTGTGATCCCACCTCCACCGACTTGAGCCAGATGTTCGGGCCTAGGGAAGAAAGGGACAGATAGGGATCTCAGAAGGTGGTTAGTGCAGTGAGGAGCGGAGCCCTGGACAATTCCTAGACCGGCCTCGGCGGACAGCAACAGGCTCCCTGGAAGCCGGCAGTACTTTGACTATTATGCGCCATGCTTGAACCTTCCACAAGATGGCCTCAAATACTAGCGAGGAGTTTGCCTCTAGAGAGCAGGAATTCAGAGGGAGGGACTAGGGAAGGGAGGGCAGGCAGCTGCTGGAGCTGACAGACTTGAGAGAGAGAGAGCCTGTAGCTTCCCTCTCCCACCCTTCAGTATAGTTTCCCGGTCTTTTCCCATGCTAAGGACTTCATGCCTCCCACAACCACAAGACTTGTACACTTCTTGTAAGCTTCCATTGACATTGTGTTTACATCAGGGGTTAAATAAAAGGACTATGAAATTTGTCATTTCTGAATTAGTGTCTATGCCCACCCTCCACCGTATTCCTCTTCTTCATTTGATTCCACGGCCCAGGATACTTTCTGCAAGGGTATATGGGTGTTTACTAGCTCATGCAGCCAAGTAACATTTCCAGAGAGCTGAGTGTATACAGAGACTGTATACAGAGACTGTGCAGAGCTTGTACAGTGAGGGCTATGAGGGCCAGGGGGCAGGGGAGAGCCGTGCACACTCAAGGTTGGGTTGCCTGGGAGACTTTCACTCAAGTGGGAGAGGGGCCCCTGCCTGACAGGAGAAGACACGTGGTGGTAAGAGCGAGAGGGGGCCTGGTCGGATCCTGACCGATGCTGAGGCTGGAGTGGATGGAGATACGCCAGGCGAGGCTACCGCCCAGCACATTCTCTGGACAGAGTCATAGAGCTGGGCTGGGGGGGAAACTTTATCTCAGCATGAGGGACCTGCCTGAATTCTGTGCCTCCACACCACAGGCTCCTCTCCCTGAACCCCATTGCCCCAGCTCCGAAGCCTTCCTGTCTCCCACCGCCCCTGCCCCATCTCAGGCCTGGGTGTAATAAGGGACACCGTCTACTCGCTCAAGTCTCACCCCTTTGCACCCAGCCTTTGCCCTCCTTGGGGGCAGATTGGGATGTCATTGGCTGGACTGGAAGGAATGACAGCTGCCTGGCCTCAGGAGCTTGGGCTGGGCAGCAGGGGCTAATTTTACTCGCTGGGAGTAGAGAGAGTAATCCTCCCACCCCCACGCCCTCCCTGTCTGATTGCCTCAGCAGTACAGGCTCAGTCAGGCCCAGTCCCCAACGTGGGGGCATTGGGGACACAGGGAGGAGAGGGCAGTGGGCTGGGGGAGCAAGGGAAAGGAAGGGTGTTGGGGAAGCCATGGAGCCGTCCTCACCTCAGGATGAGGGCCTGAGGAAGAAACAGCCCAAGAAACCTGTTCCTGAGATTCTGCCGAGGCCACCCCGGGCCTTGTTCTGCTTGACTCTCCAGAACCCTCTAAGGAAGGCCTGCATCAGCATTGTGGAGTGGAAGTATCCTTTTCCCCGCCTGAACAAGATGGGGCGGAGAGGGTGTAGGAGGTGGGTGGGTGGTGGTGCCATGGAGTGGTCACAGAGCTCAGATTATCAGCATCTGGGTGGCCAGGCTCTGGGAACGGGGCAACCTATTACCTAAGACCAGCAAAAGAAACTCTCGTGAAGGTAAGCAGGAGGCCTTCACCACAATGGAAAGCAGAGCTTCAGGGAGCCTGAGGAGACCAGCTGTCTCATAGGCCACAGCCAGAGACAGCTCTTGATCATCTTAGGAAGGCTTGTGCTCATGGGGGCTATTTCTAAGTGTGTCTGAGTCTCTGTCATCATGGGGTACCCCTCAAGGTTTTGAACAAGAAGATGAGAGATGTAGCACTCCTGAGGAAATCTTCCACAGCCCAGGGACAACCTCTGCTAGCTCAAGTCGCTGTTACAGATGGAGCTGGAGAAATGGATTTGAGGGAAGCCCTGCCCTTACTGGCTCCAGGATGCTGGGGAGTGGATGTTTTAGCTCCAAAGTAGTGCTCTGGGGACAGGGGCCTCGATCTCTCTCTGGGTTTGCATGATTTCTGGAAGAAGAATGATGAAAATATCTATGTTATTTGGGGGAAGGAGGGGCTGCAGAGAGGAGGGAGGTCTGTGTTGAGTGGGTTCTGAGACAGTCAGGAATATTTGAAATATTTTTGACATGCTCTGAAAGAGTGGGAATCCATCAGCTGTTCCTTGGAAAAAAAGGAGAACGGGGGATGACCGGAAGGGTGAGGAAGATAAGGAGCCATGCAGATACAGTGGGTCTGGGGTCAGGCCTGATCCCCCACATGCCAGGCCCTTCCCTCCTTATCTGTCTCCCCTGAAAGAATTTCTCTTTTCTCCACTCTCTACTCTCCTGAGCTCACTCCTCCCACGGAGCTATTCCATGACACCCCCATCCCCTGTCTCTCTTCAAACACGGAAGTTTCTGGGAAGAGAATGAATGGGGTTTTTATCCATATCTATCCACACAGCATGGCTTCTGCTCCCAACCCTAAACAATCCCCCAGGGACTCTGTCTTGCTTTCCCCTCCCCTCACATTTGCTTTCTAAGTGACCAGGAAGGGTGGGTCCCAGAGCACCCTCTGGGAGACAGCTGCTGCTGGGGAGGAGGTGTATCTGGGAGGGGGTGTGCATGAGTGTGTGCCCATCATTCTGTAATCTGGCTTTCCTCTCCATTTCCCCCTTTCCCAGTCCTATTCAGCCTGATCGTGGTCAGCTCCCAGCCTCCCTGGCCATTCTAGGGTGCAAGCCCCCACAAATCATGTAGCCTGACTATCTCTTAGCATTATACTGATTGTCCAGACTGGCCATTAGCAGTTTCTTGCTCTCAATCCCCACAAATCCCACAGATAACTTGAGGGCTCTCCTTAACCTGGTGCCACCAGACCCTTTGAGACCATCATCTTGCTCACCATTTTTGCCAACTGTGTGGCCCTGGCAGTGTACCTGCCCATGCCTGAAGATGACAACAACACTCTGAACCTTGGCCTGGTAAGAAAGCCCTTCCATCCTTCCTCTTGCAGCCCAGGCTGGGCGTCGTCCTTGGACTCTGTTTTGGTGGAAGATGCTGCTGTCATGGCCGCTGCCCTCACACTGCCAAGGTGCTAAGTGGCCCTGCAGCTTACCAGATTTAACCTCTTCAACCCAATTCCATGATAACCATCAGTCAGCATTCCTTATACTAAGCGTCCAACAGGCGCAGACTCATGGAGCTTTCCCAAGAGCTCCCAGGAGTAGTACCAGTGGGCAGACGTGGAGCTGACCACAGCAGGGTGAACCAGGGATGCTGAGGACCAACCTCCCCTCTGGACAGAATCCAGAACGTTGCTTGCACTGAGCTGGCCTACTATCTCAGATGATACAGGAAGCTGCAGGAAGGGCATTGCAGGCCTACAGTGCTGCTCTCTCCTACCTCTTCCCCAGCAGCACAGCCAATTCTGTACTGAGGAGGTTTCATCATTGAATTATTGAATCTGAAAGTAAGTAAGCAGATAAACAAATGAACCAATATACAAATAGATAAATAAGTAAGTAAGTAAGTAAGTAAGTAAATAAATAAATAAATAAATAAATAAATGGAACAAAAGCCTACCTGAAACCCCTGAGGACTGCAATCTAGGTTTATTATGTGGAGTAGCACCCATATAAGCTTCTAATAGGGCCTCATATCCTGGTCTTACTGACATTGAGACTTGCTTTTATATTTTAAAAATATTTTTTTTAAATCTTTGTATACATCTGTGTCTATGTATGAGTATTTACAGTATCCTCAGAGGCTAGAAGATGACTTTGGATTCCCCCAGAGCTGGAGTTAAAGGCAGTTATGAGCTGCCCAAGATGGGTGCTAGGAACTGAACTCCGGTCTCTTTCGAGAGCAGTACTCACTCTTAACTACTGAGCCATCTCTTCAGGTCCTGGATATTGTCCTTTTGCTGGTTGTATTCACAGGGTGGTAAACAGAATGAGGACTTCCAGAGAAGTCCACTGGGAACCAAAGAACTGACACTCAATGGAGGGATACCTGCTTAGCATCCAGAAGGCCTAGGCTTTTACTCTAGTACCACACACACACACAACAGGACAGGAAAATGGATTTCCATTCTCCAGGGCTTTCCCCTGCACTGAGACCACAGGGCTTGGAGAGAGGAGGCCCATCTGCACGCATCCAGGGCCAGAAAGAAAAAGTGTGTATCTCTGCCTCTTCTCGGGCTGGTTTCCATGGTAATCTATTCCGAATTGGGCAGAAGCTTGCTAAATGTGTGCTTGCTGGGAATGGAAATAACTGAGTTCCTGGAATGGAAAGAGAGCAGGGCTGAATGAGGGCAGGGCCAGTGCAATTTCTGCTGCCAGGGAAGCTGCTGTGTGCAACTAGGACCTTCTATAAAAAAAAGCCCAATTATCCGTGTCTGCAGATTTAGGGACAGTCCTTGTCCACCCCATTCTTCATGGCTTCCTAGTTTGGCTTCGTATGCACTGGATGCTTTTGGTAGAGTGTGCTTGTGATCCACTGGGAAGGTGGGACAAAGTAGTCACTGGGGCTCACTGGCCAGTCATCCCAGCTGAGTCAGTGAACCCTAGTTCCTAGTAAGAAGCTCCATCTTAAGAAACAAGGTAGACAGCGCCTGGGGAATGATATCATAGGTTGTCCTCTGGCCTCCACACACATATACACATATGTACACATGTACTTGCACACACATGAATACCACAAGGTGGCACACACGCATGTGTGTGAAACACACACACACACACACGAAGTTGATATTTTGCAAGAATCTGCCTTCTTTTAAGGACATTAAATCACACCTCAGTGATTATGTGATCTTTCATCTTCTAAACAAAATGGTTTCCGGAATAGTCCT